AAAGGGGGGCAGCCCTGAGTCAGGAGGGCCTCACAGGAACAGTGGTCCCTTCCTCCACACTGTCACCTAATTCATCTCCAGGGAGGATCCTGCCTCAAAGCCCCTTCTTGCTGTCCTGCTTCAGGAGCAGGGCAGGGAGCCCTCCTGGCTGCTTCTTCAGTAATCACAGCTCGTGAGTTCATGGGCTCTTTCAGAGAGATGAGGCGTTTCTTTATTAGGAAATCAGAGTATGTGAGAATCGGTGGTTGGGGGTGGGATACGGACGGCTGGCTTCTTTGTTGAATGGCTACCAGTCTGGGAGGTCAGGATTTTTCCATCTTGGTTCTACCCCAGTTCCTTTTGGTTCAGATGTGACAACTCTATAATCAACAAGTGGCAAGCTTTCTCCACTCCTCCAGGAGGCTTTGAGGAAACCGGCACCACTTAGAATAATGCTTGGTGGGTGTGGACAGTGTGTGGTGGGTCATTTCTCCCAGTGCAGGGCCTCATGTGCGTCCCAGTCCCCACGCCCACTCCCGACCTGCTGGTTACTTAAGGCGGGGGCACCGTGTATAATGAACCAGGATGCCTCTCCGCAGCTCTCGGACACCTGCCCGGAGAGGCCCGGCCAGGGCCCGGGAACAGCTGGTAGGGCGTATGTGCAGTCAGCTGAGCGTCCGAAGACCAGAATCCCGGTCCCCACTGACATGGGATCCTGGACAAGGCATCTAACTTCGCTGGGCCTCAGTTTACTCATTTGAGAGGCAAGGACAGCGACTTCCCTCGCGCTACCTCCAGTGAGGCTCAAAATAGGCAACGCCAGGGTAGCGCCGGCTGAACTGGGAGGTACCGATCGGCAGGAGAGCTTGCGCCTCCAGGAGCCCGGGGGTGTTTTGACCCTCTGGGATCGGGTAGCTGCTCCCTACCACCCGTGGGGGCAGGCCCGGGGCCGGGCGGCGGCAGCGGGCCGGGTGGGTACTCACGGGTCAGGTCGTACTTCCACACTCCGTTCGCCTCTCCGAGGGCCCGGCGGTCCCCTCCGCCGCCTTTACCACTGCTGCCGGCCCCAGGCCGCCGCCCCTTCTTCACCACCTCCCAGCGCCCCCCACCCGCCGCCCTGGCCGACATGGCTCCGAGCCTCCCGCCACGGCCACCTCCCTGGACTTTCCTGTCCGGCGCGGACGCGCAGCGCTCTGCCACGTCTCCTCGCAGGGCCTCGCGGCGCGTGACGCCACCCGCAAGGCAGCCTGGGACTTGTAGTCTTTCGTGTTTGCCTGGTTCTTCCACTCTAGGGGTCGGGTCGGCGTCGGGGCCTTTTCGCAGCAAAAAACCAGCGAGGCAAAGATGTTGAGATGAGCGGCTTTTGCATTCAGACAACTTTTATTGAGCAAAATGTGAAGGCATTGGGTGACTTGGTGGAAATTTAACTGTTTCTGTTTTTCTTTCCGTTCTAGTTGTGCAAGAAGGATGGAATGAAAATAGTTCTCCTCATCTCCCAGGAGAGTTTGAAGATTAAATGCTTCCTTCCTTGTAGGAAAGTGCTAGTTTTTCTGTTGCTAGTGATTAAACTTTGGGTTTAATGAGCTATAAAAATCTATTCTGCAGGAACAAGGAAGAGGATGGAGTTTGAGGGAAGAGGCAGTATTTGGAGGGCAGGAAATGGAGAGCGGAGAGTCCTTCTGGTAGGAGGCACAGAAAAGTCTGGGGCCCTGGTACAGCCAGCGCTGGGTTTCCCCTTCCAGGCAATGGGAAAGAAAAGATTCTGACTCCCACCACAAGAGTCAGTCCCAAGTCCCAGATGTGGCAGGGAAGGGATCGAGAGCTGCAGACCTGGGGAACCACTCAGACAGGTTACTGCTCAGACATCCACTATCTCCCGAGGGCCCTCTGCCAGGCTTGTAGTATCACGTGAGACCTCAAAACTTGAAGCATCCCAGCAGGGGAGGATGAGCGAAGGTGAACTGGAAGGGATCTATCACGATTAAGGAAGTGTGCTATTTCATGTACATTCCTACATTTGAGGACGGGATTCACACCTGCCATACTGAGGAACAAGACAGGCAAGCCGTTATAGTAAGAACTAATAGAGTTCAGTTTCCCAGAGGACGAATAGCTTAGGGAGTGATGAACTCCTTTAGGAAGGGGATTAGAGAAGGCTTCTTGAAGGAGACGGCACTTGAGATGGGTCCTGAGGAATGGGCAAATTTTCATTGGCTGGGGATTAGGACAAGTGGAGAGAACAGGCCAGTTGTATGGATTTATTGATTTAAGCAGAGGCCTAGAGGTGGGACACAGCATGGCAAGGCTGGGAGACTGGAAGTAGTTCAATGTGACAGTGCTTAAGGGACTTTGGAGGGGATGCGGTTGGAAAGGGATCTGAGTCCATATGCCATGGGCCTTGCCTGCCAAATTCGGACTTTGTCCTCCAGACCCTGGGAAGCCAGTAGGAAAGGGGCACATCTGCTTTTGGGAAGGTAAATGGGGATATGTGAAGGATGGGATGGGGTGGGGGAAAGGCAGGAAGGGGGATATAACTGGCTCTTGCTGCCTCCTCCTACCTGCCCTCCAGCCCCTTCAGGCCTGACCATAGCTGACTTTGCCTCTGAGATGCAGTGCTTTTGGCAAGGAACAGATTTGAGCTGATCATTAATCAATTCATTTTTTTCAGATCATTGGTTTAGCTCTACTCAGACACTATCTTTTCTTTGTTCTACCTCTTCTGTGTCCCATGTATGGTCACAGAAGAGACACGGTTTTTGGAAGAGAAACAGAACGGGCTTTCCATAGAGGCAAAGAAGGGGGGTGCTCCACGGTGGAAATGTATAGAAAGGGAGGGGCTTTATTTCCTATCTTTCCTTAGAAGAGTCTGGCAGGTCATCTGTTGTGACTTGGCATCTAAGGGATAGAAGTCATTCACTTACTTATCCAGTAGCATTTCCTAAGCACCTTCTTCTCTACCTAAGCACCTAGCACGGTGCTAGGTGGACCTAGAGGACACACCTCACTTGCTTGAGAGGAACTCGAAGCTTGTGTGGGAGACAACTGTGTAAACAGAAAATTATGGTTCACCATCTTAAATGTTGCAGACATTGGGAAGGAGGCAGTGGCTTCACATCCTTGAGCTCTGGGGGTTCAAAGAGCAGCCTTAGACACTAGCCATGGAGGTGGGCTTAGGCAGGTACCCATGGGGTTTGAGGGAAGAATCAAAAGAGGAGGACGGGTGGGTGTCCAGTGTGGAGGCGAGAAGAAGAGTGAGCTCACTGAAGCAGTTTGACCCACTGTGGTAGTTTGCTATTGCTGCTGTAACACATTGCCACAAACTTACTGGCTTAAAACAACACACACTTCTAATCTTACAGTTCCGGAAGGGGAAGTCTGTCAGGGTCTCACTGGGCTAAATATGGTGTCTGCAGGGCAGTGGTCCATTGTGGAGGCTCTAGGGGAGAGTTTCTTTGCCTTTCCCAGCCTCTAGAGGCTGACCGAATTCCTTCGCTCATAGCTCCCTTCCATCTTCAAAGTCAGCAACGGCGGGTCACGTCCTCCTCAGATTGCATCACTCTGACCTCCTGCCCCCTGCCCCAATTTTGTGGACCCCTGCAATTACATTGGGCCCACCTGGATAATCCAGGACACTCTCCCTATTTTAAGGTCAACTGATTAGCAATTTAATTCCATCTGCAGCTTAATTCCCCTTCACCATGTAACCTAACATAGCCATAGGTTCTGGGGATTATGACGTGGACATCTTGGGGGAGGTGTTATTCTGTCTACCACACCCACTTAACCAGCAGGGTGAGGTCTCGGCCTGAAAATGAACATTGGGCAACGCAGGGAAACTACCTTATCTTTTACTATATCTACCTGGAATGGTGGGGGGGGAAAGCCTTTTAAAATTAGGCACAGGAATTAAAAATCATAATGATAAATAAATGCAGGCAGGGAATTGTTGGAGAAGAAAAGCAGAATAAGATCAGAAGTCTCTGTGCGTGGGGGTGGGAGACAAACGGAGGAATTGAAGTGAATGAGGAGCGAACAGACACAGTTTGCTTATTTCAGGCTTATAACTGGAGTCATCTGAGAAGTGGTGGCAGTCTGGGAGGAGGGTCATGGAGCAGGGCCATGGAAGAAACACAATCCCCGTAGTATCTCAGGCATACTCAGGATGGCAAGGAAACATCTACCAGGGCTAGTCTGAAGCTAGAGGAACGTTCTGGAGGTCACACCTCTGTGGTCTTTGTAAGTGAGCCCTGAACCCTGAGTCAGGAGGTCTCAGTTCTAGTCTAGTTTTTTACCACCTTGAGCAAGCCATGTCACATGTTGTTCTCAGTCCTTTCATCAGTAAATGCAGGACTATTCTAGATGACAGCCAAGGCTCTGTTTGAATGGGCCCGGTATCCACATGCATTTCAGCGCCCTCGGGGCCTCCGGGACACTGGTTATCATGGCCCTTGGCCGGCACACACCAGGATTGCAGGGCTGTACGGAGGATGTGACAGAGTTCTCGGCTCCCGTTAGAGCCTGTTCTGTGGAAGGAACCCCTTGGACATTGCTTTCCTTCTGGGCTTCAGTTCTTAGAGCCGTTGCTCTTTGTAGCCCACTCAGCTCTGTCACATGAGCCCTTGTCCGCAGCTGGATCACTGTTGTGGGGCGTATGAGCTTTGACAAGGGTGGGGGACAATATGCAGTCATACTGGCCCAAAGGGGACTGAAACAAAGCACCTCTCAGCCAGGCCCCCCTGTTACCCCACAGCTGCTTTACTGGGCTGCCCATCATCACAGCCATGGCCCTGAACTTTGTTCCTCTTCAGGGAATGGCAAGCCCTTAAAGCCCGGGCATCAGCGTTGGGAGATGGGGGCTAGGTCAGAGCTGGGCTCTTGAGGCTAAGCCAGTGGTGGTTTCTGGGCCCGAGGGAGGACGGCAGGGGTGCTGTGCTCCATGGCCATCGCCTCTGGAGACGGGGTCGCTCAGGAGAAGAGCGCCTAGAGCCAGGCTGTGGCTCAGCGGAGGGAGACGTGGTATGGACTTTTACCACACAAGTTTATTTAAATAAAAGTGAACACGTATGCAGGCTGGGTGGCCCGAGGGGCAGGGGTTGGGGAGGCGGGCAGAGGGGAGGCAGACGTACAGGAGGGTCCAGGCAGAGAATGTGTGGTATGAACCAAGCTGCAGGGGGAGTGGCTGGGGGCCTCGGGGCAGTGCTGGGCTTCGGTGCTGGGGTCAGGGGGCCGAGGGTGGGCAAGCCTGGTGCCAGGAGGTCATTTTCATCCCTCACGTGCTCCCCTCACTCTCCCTGACCACCGGGGCCTAAGGCACCCCCTCCCCAGTCACCCTATCCCTCTCCTGACATCAGCCTTTCCCTCAACTACTGGGAAGTCAAAAGACAAAATAAATAAGAATCGGTGAGTCCTGCCACAGCCCTGGCAACGGGGAAGGGAGGCCAAGCCAGACACGCTGCCCCAGAGCCCGTGCTGTCAGCCCTGGGAAAAGAACAGGTAAAGTGCAAGGAAAATCCAGTAAGTAAAAATATACCAATGACTTTGTCAAATATACAGCTGCTGGCTGTCAGGGGAGCAGGCGGCTGGCTGGGGTGGGTGGCAGCAGCCCCCTGGGAAGTGTTGGCCGACACAGCACAGAGACCATGGAAATAAATAGGGGTGGGGAGTGGGCAGGGATCCTGCCCAACTGGGCCTCTGCCACAGGAGGAGGGGCCTCTACCTGCTCACCTGCCCCCCACCCCCCAAGCCCTGCTCGCCAGGCTCCCCAGGGCCACGGCACTGACACAAAGCACCCGGCCAGCTGGCTGTCAGGGAAGGATTATAATGTGGGCATGGGAGCGGGGTGAGGGGCACGGCAACCGTGCAGTCAGCCAGGGCTGGAGCCGCCCTCAGTACTCGTCCTGGTCTTCCTGTTGGTGTTCCTCGATCTCATCGTCCTCCGGGGGTGCAAATCCTTCCTGGAGGGTGGAAGGGAGACAGGAGGTGAGCCAGGCAGGCAGGCTGAGGGTGCGGACTCCTGAGGGTAGCTTGGGAGCCAGGGCCCAGGTTCCTGTCCTACTTGCCCTGCTCACGCCCCGTGAGACCTTGGGCTGGTGACTTCGGCTGGCTGCCCTCATCGGCCCACGTTCTCCAAGGCCCCTTCTGGTGTGAGGGCCCGGCGGGAGCGCGGGAGGCTCAGCAGGCACTGGCGGGACTCACCTCGGTGGCATAGAGAATGCTGATGATGCCCGAGATGACAGGGCTGTTCTCGCTTTCGTGCTCCTGGCAGATGAGCTCAATGTCCCGGAGTTTGCTGAAGTAGAAGTCGCGCTCCTTCTCCAGCCCATCCACTGTCAGCTTCAAATCCAATAGCTGCTCGGGGAGAAGGTGGTGTTCAAGCCAGAGACGCCTGCCTCGGACTCCCTTCCCGCCCTGACGCCCCAGGGGCCTGGCTTTTGTGGCGGGGCTTTCTCAGCTGCCAGTGTCCACGCCACTCACCTGCTGGTTGAGTTCAAGAATCTGGGCATCGGTCTCATGGCCACCATTTCGGGCTGATGGAGGATTCTTCCGGAGGATGCAGGGTGGAGCCACGTTGCTCAGCCGGCCGGAGGTCTGCATATTTTTGGGGCCTGTGGGGGACGTCCTCTGTGGAACTGCCCAGAGGAGAAAAGTCAGATCGGGGCTGCGTGAGCCCACAGCTCACGTGGCACGAGACAGCCTGGTGTGACTGCGGGGCAGGCCCATGCGAAAGGCAGGCACTCTCGCCCTCCCCACCTCTCCCTCTCAGGATGGGCATCTACATCTAGGCCTCAAGCCACGGCCACACGTGACACCACAGCAGCGGGGCAGCCCTCTGGCAAGCCTGGGAGAGCAGGCTCTACAGGGAACTAAAGAAAGTGTAAGGTGTAGGCAGGGAGGAGAGCTGGCCTGAGGGGGAGAGGAGGGAACTGGGATGGCGAATTTGGGGAGTGGGGCTTGAGGGTTTAGGGCCCTCTTGCACTGACAGCCTGGGCCTGGGGAAAAGCAGCTGGCACAGGGTCTCGCTGGGTCTTTGCTAACAGATACCCCAGCCCACAGCCATCCTCCCCGGGGGTGCCTTCTGGAGGAGACCACAGAAGCCTGCCCCTGCCCCTCTGGGCTCCCTGCCTCAGGATGGCCTCTGGGCCCTCTGCTGGGCCTGATTCAGGGACGCCACTCCTCCCCTGCACACCCGGCATGCTGTGGCCACTTATTGTCCAGCTATGGCGGCTCCCAGGACAGAGCTTCTGATGCAAAGCAAGCAGAGGAGTGGGGGCAGCCCCAGGCGGGCAGCAGCACACACAGAGGAGCCGCTCTGCTATGACGGGTTCAGACGCGTGCGGGGCTGCGCCTCTGCTCTCGCCAACCTTCCCATCCCCCAAAGGCCCTGTTGCTTTTTCCCCTTCTCCTCTGGAACCCAGACAAAGCCTCGTTTCCAGAGACTCATCTCTTGAGGACTTAGGGCTGTGGGATTTTGGAAATGGGGGACGATATGGTCAAGCTTGGCCAACTCCCATCCCCGGGGAGTCAAGTGGGCAGAGGGCAAGAAGTGTCTGTAGTGCCGGCCCAGGCCCTTGGCCTGGATGGACCTGGACAGAGGAACCAAGCCAGGGGCTGCCCCATCATCTTGAGGCAGAGGAGTTAGCTCGGGCTACAGAGGGAAGTGCCCCGGGGCCTCCCATCACCAGCTGTCACCTTGGCCGGTGCCGGTGGCTCTCCTTTTGTAGCAGTCTCTGGAGCCCTCTCCTCCCTACTGTGACTCCCCCTGGTCTAAGCGGGCAGCAGGCGGCGTCATCTGAACTCCGTGATAACAGTCTCCTCTAGGCTGGCAGGGCCGGGCCGGTGGCCCAGGGGCCGCTCCTGGCTGTAGAGCCCTTCCGGCCCGGCCCCCCACACTCCCTCCCCCAGCTCGGGCACATTACCTGCTGTGCCAATGAGTTTCTTGGATTTGTTGAAGATCTGATCACCTGGATTAGGAGGTGGTGCTACGTCCTGGCCCTGCCGCGCCAGCAGAGGGTTGTAATCCTTTCCATCATAGTTTGCGTCAAAGAATTTCTTAAACCACTGAATAAACTCAAAATTATCTTGGAATTTTCCTTTCACTAATTTTTCTACAGGAATGATCTGAAATAGACGACATAAGCAGAGAACTTTAACCTCCTGCTGCTGCAGGGCTGCCTTTCTCTGTGAGAGGGCCACTGCTCTCAGGAAAGCCAGCCCCTGGGCTGCAGCATCCTCCACCTTCTCCACCTGGCCCCCCTCCCGTGCCACCAGAGCAGATGGGTAGGCTGCAGGCCCTTTCCTCCAGGCACAGGAGGAAGTGTGTGGGGAGACATCCCTTGGTGCTGTGCCTGCATGTGGGGTGAGGGCTGCTGGAACCAGGGTCCTGGGCCGTTGAGGCAGTCGAGTGAGCCAAGAGACTTTTCTTGGGCCTTACAGAGGAGGAACTTAATAGGACCAATATACCGAGGCTCAAGTGCTGGGGTGTAGGGTCCGGAGAGGAGAAAGGGACAGGAATGTCATCAGGATGGGATGTCAAAAGTTGTGGGGTTTTCCACTGAGCCTGGAGCTGGGGGAACATTCCCCCTGGAGAGTTGGGGTGGAGAGAGGCGTGAGAACTGGATTGACCCCAACAGCCCCTGCTGCCCTGGCTGGCGGGCCATCTTCTTTCCCAGGGTCACACAGCTCCTCGGGGCCCCTCAGAGCGCAGGCACCTACTTTATCAACACCCATCTTCTTGAATGCTGCTTGCAGCACCTTGAAGTTGTGAATATACTCATGCTCCAGCTTGGCCTGGAACTTCACCTTCCTCAAGTGCACACAGCCAGGGAAGAGCATGTCCATGAACTGGCAGTAAGCTGCCCCTGTGGAGAAACACAAGATGCTCGTTTTCACTTCCCCAGGCCAACTGGGGCCACTCCCCCAAACCTCTCCGTCTCCTCTTCTCTCTCTCTGTTCCCAGAGCTGGGGCCAGACTTCCCAAGGGTGAGAGCAATTACCATTCAGTGATGCAATTATGTACCAGCACCATATCAAACACTGCATGTATGGGCTTTAATCCTAACCGCAACCCTGGTTAGATAGCTGATGTCATCTCCATTCATGGATGGAAAAACTGAAACCTAGAGAGGTGTGGTGACTTGTCCAGGGTTGCACTACAAGAAGAGCTGAGATTTGGACCCTCCCCCCCCGAAGTGGCTAGGCTGGACCTGGTGCACGTGACCTCTGGCTTCACTGTCTGTCCCCACTGCTGCTCCCCTTCTGCAGCCCTTTACTGTGCCTCTCCTGCTCTTCGCTTTTTTTTTTTTTTTTTTTAACACAGTAACCTAACCTCTCCTTAGGAAGCTGTGGGTTGTTTTTTTTTTTTAAAAATAAACTTATTTATTTTTGGCTGCATTGGGTCTTTGTTGGTACGTGCGGGCTTTCTCTAGTTGCGGTGAGCGGGGGCTACTCTTCGTTGCAGTGCACGGGCTTCTCATTGCGGTGGCTTCTCTTGTTGCGGAGCACGGGCTCTAGGTGCACAGGCTTCAGTAGCTGTGGCACATGGGCTCCGTAGTTGAGGCTCGCGGGCTCTAGAGTGCAGGCGCAGTAGTTGTGGTGCACAGGCTTAGTTGCTCCATGGCATGTGGGGCCTTCCCGGCCAGGGCTCCAACCCGTGTCCCCCTGCATTGGCAGGCGGATTCTTAACCACTGTGCCACCAGGGAAGCCCCTGCTCTTTGCTTTTTACTCTTTCCATCCCACGTAGACCCCTATTTCCTTACTCCAACTCCAAACACTTTGGCTAGTTGAGGGCTCTGCAGCACTCCTCCTTAATCCCAGTTACAAGCTCTGCTGTCCGCTGTGGCTGTTCTGCCTCCTGCCTACCCCCCTTTGTCCCCCCAGCAGGGCCCACTTCCCCCCGATTCCCAGCCTCCCACCTGAGCAGAGCTGCTCTATCTTGGTATAGTTGAGGTGCAGGGAGTCATTGACCCATGCGAGCATATCATGGCGACTCAGATTCTCACTGGTCACAGACGTGGAGTACACATTGACGGCCATACCCCAGCTGTAAAGAAAGAAGAAAGGCAAGGTAAGACCCTGGGGGCCTTGTGCTGTTCTTGAGCCCGAAGGAGGGGGAGCTGGAGGGTCTCTGGGGAAACGAGAAGCATCTTCCTCCAGGCCAGCAGTTTACCTCTTGGAGAAGGGGTACTCATTCACTCTTGAAACATTTGGTGAGTGTCTACTATATGCTAGACCTGCACTAAGAAGTGGTGAAGTCAGATGTGGTCTCTACCTCCAAGGAGTTTACAGACAGGCAAATCCCCACAGCAGGGAGTGACAGGGCAGGAAAAGCAGCACATGCAAAGTTCAGGGATGGCACAAAGAAGGGAGGGATCTCTTCTGCTTGACAGGGTCAGCGAAGACTTCAGAGCAGCCTGAAAGGGGTACGAATTTTCTGAACATACAGGGGATGGGGTAGAAGGGCAGTGCAGGCCCCAGGACTATCAAGAACAAAGGCATGGCTTATTCCGGGACTCTGAGCTGTTCAGCAGGCCTGGGGAGCGGGTGTCTGTGTTGGGGTGTGGCGCAACGAGACTGGAAGGGGCTGGTAGCGATGGGCTTTGGTTACCATGAGGAGGAGTCTGGACTCCCTGTTTAAACAAGGGAAGCCATTAGAGGATTTTAAGCAGACAGTACTTGACCAGATTTGGGTTCTAGAAAGCTGACTAACCTTCGCCTCTGCTCCGACTTCATGCCCTATAATCCCTGTGGCCTGCTGGCCCATCCACAGGCACCTAAATTCCGCTTATCCAGAAACTTCCCTCAACACATGCTTCTGCTCTTGTATTCGTTATCCCAGTGAAGGTCACCACCAGGCACCCAGTCACCCACACTGGAAACCTGTGGGGTCGTCCCAGACAGCCTACTCCCCCTCATGCTCAGAGCCCATCATTCAGTGAGCCCGGCTCTTCTGCCTTCCCAGTGTGTCCTGCTCTTCGCCTCGCCTCCTGCTGCCTTGGGGTTTCTGCATCCATTCTCTCCAGCCAAGGCTAGCAGAAGCCTCCTAGGGGGCCTTCCAGCCCCCAGGCACTCCCTCCCCCTAGTCCATCCCTGACACTGCTGCGGTCAGAATCTATGTGAAAGCAGCCCTGGCCACGCCCCTACCCCCCCCTCCCCCCCCCGCCCCCCCCCCCCCGCCAGTGGGTGTAAGCACCTCCTTACCCTCCCCCATCCCCACGCAGAGGTCAAGTGTCAGTTGTTATTACTGACTTGCACTGTTAAGAGAGAGGGAAATGTTTCTTGTAACTAGGTCTTTATCATAAATGGAGAAATAGGACTGCGTATTTCACCAATTGTGAGAGTACATATTTCTGGAGTGAAGAATATTTAGGTTTAACACGCAGATTGTCCCCCTGAAGGAAGAATGCACCCAGCCCACTTCCGGGTCCCCTGTGGGCATCTGCTCTTATAATGTGACCCCCTCCCCATCACTTATGAAGCTCTTCAATGAGCCCTCCCTCTCCAGCCCTGTCTTCTACTTTGATCCCCCAACTGGGAGCCATGGGCAGCTCTCTGCTCACCCTCTGCCTGGAATGCAGCCGCCACCCCCGAAGTCCACTCATTCTCTGCTCTAGAGGTTCTCAAACTGTGGTTCCTGGAGCAGCTTTGGTGCTCTATGGGCACCAGCTTGTTAGAAATTTCAAGTTAGAAATTCTAATTCTTGAGCCTCGCCCTACATCTACTGAGTCAGAAACTGTACTTGACCAAGAGCGTCTACAGGCACAGTTAAATTAGAGAAGCTGCTTTAGAGAAGAGGCTCAGTTGGTATCTGCTAGGCTGTGCTCCCCCATGGCCTCACCCCAAGTATATATAATGGAACCTCGCTAGATGCACATTTAACTTCAATAAATTTTTTGAAGAAAAATCAAGAAAGCCTCTTGTTTATTCTTAGTCCTCCTTCCTCCTCTTAAAAATAGACCTTGTCCTTCATTGCCCAGGGAAAGGGAAGCCAGACAGAGCCAAAAAGCCAAGAGCAACAAAAATTATCATCTTGGGAGCTTCTAAGGACTCAGGAGCTGACAATTCCAGAGATTTCTGAGGGTAATTTTGACTGCACTTGAGTCCCCTCTTACACAGTGGTTTTGAGCCACTGCCCTGTAACCTGACCCTTGCACTAACCACTGGACTTGCTGAAATGCCTGCCTCCCTCATCAGTAAGCATCTCAAAGCCAGTAGTGGTGTTTCTAGGCCTGTCACAGGCAAGGTATTCAGCAAATTTGTTGAATGACTAAGTGACACCTCCTCACCTTTTCTCCTCTTTCTGAACCATCTTTTATCACCTTCTGGCCGGGACCCTCCCTCCCCTACTCAACCTTCTGGACTCAGCTTGGGCTCCATCTCCTCCAAGACGCATTCTCTGAGCCCCTGTGCAGGGAGACATGGCCTTCATCTGTGTCTCTCTGTCACCCTGAGCTTACTCAATCATGGCGTTGATCACATTCTCTTGTCTGTCCCTTCCACCTGACTGTAAACTCAATGGCCAGGCTGTTTCATTCACGTTGGGGTTCTAGATCAATTCTCAGTGAATGACAATCACAGAGACTAGAGTTAGGAGAGCGTTCTTAATTTCCAGGAAGCTCACCTAAAGTAACCTCAGCAGGCGTGGCAGGAGCGCCTGGACACCAGACTTGATTAGACAGGCAGATGGGTAGGGTCAAGGCAAGTGCATTGTATTTTGATGAGTATTTAGTTAGGGACTCTGAGAAACAGAAAGATTTGCCCTTGTCGTCAAGGAGCTTATAGTCTCGCTGGGGAGACCAACACACAGGAGGACAGTATAACCAAATGCCCCAAAGTGTGGTGAAAACGGTAGGTGCTACAGAAAGCCAGGAAGGAGAGAGCATGCACAGCTGGAGAATGGATTTGAACGGCCCCAATAAGAATGGTCAGAACCTGCCAGGCCTTCGGGGGTCTGCAGAGGCCTGTGGGATCTCAGTGCAGAGGGGACAAGCCATTCTGGATACTGGCCTACCACAGGCTTTGGGACTCATTTCTCCATGAGGTCTTGGGGGCTGCTCTGTCCCTGTGCTCCTGGGGTACAGAGTCTGGGCTGGTCAGGGGTGGTTCTGGGAGGTGTAGGGTGGTCTTAGGTTGGCCCTGGGAATTCCTGAGCCACTTTAGGGATTTTTTTCCTGTTTACTGTGTGTGAGTTTCAAGTGCTGATTATTGAAGAAAAGCAGAGGCACCGGTCCTAGTCTAAACTAATCCTCCAGTTTCTGACTGAAATCATTTGAGCTTCAAGGGTCTTCTAACCTGAGGGCAGCCTTCCTGTGGTTCCCTAGCCTCTCTAAATATTATATATAACCACATCATGTATATTATTACATAGTATATATGCAATTATATATAACACACTATATAAATATACATTAATATATATTTATATATAACATAGTACATATTCATATATAGTATGTATAACTATATATGATACACTACATATGATATATACCAATCTATTTATATATAATGTATAGTATAGTTGGCTCTCAGTGTCCATGGGAGATTTGTTCCAGGACCACCGTGGATAGCAAACTCTGTGGATGCTCAAGTCCCTTATGTAAAATGGCATGGTATTTGCAAATAACCTATGCACATCCTCCTGTATACTTTAAGTCACCTCTAGAGTATTTATAATACCTAATACAATGTAAACACTATGTAAATAGTTGCTGGTTCATGGCAAATGCAAGTTTTACTTTTTGGAACTTTCTGGAATTTTTTTTTCAAATATTTTCCATCTATGGTTGGTTGAATTCATGACTATGGAACCCACGAATACGGAGGGCTGACCGTATAATATATTTAGTGTTATATCTATATATATGTGCGTGTGTAGCTATATATTTTATAGTTATTTTATATCTATATAATTTAAAAACTCCTCCTGGTGCACAACAAGGTATTAGAACCAAAGTCCTCATCTGATGCATGTGCTTGGCTGGGATTGCCTGGCCTGCATTGCAATGGCACAGGCTGGGATATTGGGGTGTTTTGCGACCTCCCTGGGGTACAGCGTTGGCTATTTTCCTCCTTGGTACGTATGAAAAATCTCCAGTCTCCCTTCCAGAACACAACTAAAGACCTTGCTATCAGGGCCCTAAGAGTCACCAAAAGCTACACAGGTACTGGAAAAATGCCCAAATCTTCTCAGCTTGGCCAGAAATTCCCAGCTCTGTCCGTGCCTGATGAT